CAATCCTCGGCAAGGGATCGCACATCCTGCTTAACATGACACAGCTGCACAACACAGATACACATACCCAGATAACAGAGGTGGCCGTAACAACTGTGTCCAGGCCTGCTGTATAGACCCTATTGTTTTATCAGACCATGCTCGGTACACCTGTACATTAACCCAGTATTTGACATTCCTAAAACTCCCACTTGGAGATTCAACACGTCATTTTTGAATAGCGACTCCAAGAGTCAGAATTCTGGCTCAATAATAAACGCTCTCCTGTGTCCTCTGCTACAATCTGGGATGCAGCTAAACCACTTTACGTGGACACCTTATTTCCTATAGCTCTCATCAGAAAAGCCTTAGAGGAAAACAGAAAAAAACTTGAAAAAGAAGTGATTAGGCTGGAGCAAATACATAAACAGTCACCCACACCACCAAACTTAAAGGCACTAGTGGTTGCTAAGACTGAACTTAATATGGATCATACTAGTCATGTCCAGAAGCTATTACTTTACACTAAACAAACAAATAAAAAGGGGTGCCCCCTGTCACCTTTATTGTTTATATTGTTTATTGAACCTTTGGCCGAGGTCATCAGAATTAACCCTGATATATCTGGAGTTAGGATAGGTGAAGAAAAACACATTATTTCCTTATTTGCAGACGATGTCCTTTTATATCTGAATAAACCTGAGAAATCAATCTCGGCAGTTTTGAAATCTATAGCCACATTCAGTAACTTGTCGGGTTATAAGATTAACCTAGGGAAGTTGGTCGCTACGCCCTTTAATATCCCCCAGGATATGTCAATAAAATCTCCTTTTCAAGTGTCCAGGAGGGGTTTCAAATACTTAGGTATCTTTGTCACTCCTGATTTAAATAGGCTGTTTGAAACTAATTGCTCACCCCTAATTCAAAAGATTAAAAATGATCTGACAAAATGGGCAACTTCTCTTCTTGGGAGAATCAACACTATAAAAATGAATATTCTCCCTTGATTGAACTATGTATTTTTAAATCTCCCGTGTTATTTGACCCCTGCCTTTTTTAAGTCACTGAATTCTCATATTTCTCGCTATATTTGGAACAACAAACACCAAAGAGTTAAGTTGTCTATACTTACTAAGCCAAAGAATCTGGGGGGGTTTGTCCCTGACAAATCTACAACTATATTATTGGTCAGCACAACTTAAAACCATGTCAAATTGGTTTAGAATAGGAAAGATTCCTTATGGTTGGGTCTTGAATCCCTATTTTGCTATCCCAGAAGGCTTAACTCCCTTCCTTTTATCAATAATATAGACCAGTTAAACCATCTCACGAACAACATAATTGTTTATAACACTCTACTGGTTTGGCTCTGAATCCAGATTTACCAGCACAGATTAGGAGTATTGGTTTGATGGAGTGGACATCTAAGGGCCTGTCAAACTTTACAGACCTGTTGGTCTCCGACTCTGTTAAGTCATTTGAGCAAATCAGGGCTGATTTTTATATTCCCCACAAAGTATCTCCAAATTTGTCACTTTATAGGGTCTCTCTTGAGGACAGGCGGGATTCGCATGAGATTGTCAGAGCTGGAAAACATTACAGTTCTGGCCAAATCTCCCAAAGGACTGATTTCCAAAATTTATACTTCACTACTTTACTCTGATTCTTCAAGCTATGACTCTCTGAAGCTGTTGTGGGAGTGTGATCTGGAGGTGACGTTCAACCCTATAGACTGGGACAAGATCTGCAGCGGGGTTTTCCCTAAATGTACTTCAATCTCTATACATGAACAGAATTTTTTCACCTAACTTACTACACACCTGTTCACCTCCAGAGAATGTTCCCTGACACCTCCAACCTTTGTTATAAATGTAATATACACAAAGGTACATTTATCCACTTGTTTTGTTCATGGACCGCATCCAGACTTTCTGGAAGGGGGTTCACTCTGTAATCCAGGAGATCACTGGTAAACAGTTTTTGTTGACTCCTTCATTCTGTCTACTTAACCATGCTCCAGACAATTTCTCGGACACAGACACCAAAACTGTGTGAAGCCACACCTTCGCTAACAGTATGAAGCTTTCGGTCGTACGAACAAACTAACGCTACTGTACTTGAAGGAATTAATGTTAGCTTACACTGATTCATCTAGTTGGCTCGTCACCAGACTTTATGGTACATTCGTGTCTGTAATGTTAGAGATGGGCTCAAATGGGCTTAAATGTGGTATTTTAAGATAAGTACCTGTTTTTGTTTACGATGTTGCCTATGGGTTGAGTACAAGTTGCAAAATAACATTAGCTATTAATGTTAACTGTGTACCAGTGCCTGTCCCATAAGTCTGCTGATATGTCAGTCAAACATATCGAAGTAAATAACTAACTAATAACTACAATAATTATAATAATTAGGGGCATCTATCAGGAAATGTCTGTGATTATGTTTGATTGTTTTTTCTATTTGAGTTGCATTATTGTCTTGTTTCTGTAGGGTCAGGGTCAAGGTTCACAGAAGGATGTGGAGACTGTGGCCACCTAATCACAAACATCGTATAGGACCTTTAGGACCGAGTTAATACCAAATCTTCTTAACATATTTAATACAGCTTTAAAAGAAGGGAAAACCCCACCAACTTGGAGAGAAGCTACAATTTCGGTTATACCGAAGGAGGGAATAGACAGGCTGGACTGTGGATCATATAGACCAATCTCTGTCCTGAATAAACTGACTACAAACTGTATACATCAATTCTTGCCAAGAGAGTTGAGGAGATCCTTCCCCACCAGACCAAACAGGCTTCATTTCCCAGAGACAAACTCATGATAATATTAGACGCTCATTACATATCTTGAGCCATATACAAAAACACAAGGTACAGGCCCCTATTGGTGAGCCTGGATGAGAGAAGGCCTTTGGATTCGGGTGAGTTTGGAAGTTCTTATATTAAGACTCTTGAGAGATTCGGGTTTCATAAAGGAATTTTTTAAGGGAATTAGTACTCTTATTCAATAATCCAAACTTCCGCATTAAAATAAACGGGCACCTCTCAGATACGGGATAACGGCAGTACTGGATTAGGCAATCTTGACAATATTAAAGGTATTACTATAAACGGAGAAACAACACAAAATGCATTGTACACAGACGACTGTATTTAAATTATCTCAAAGCCCCGCTTATTCATTTCCTGAATTATTTAAACTTTTGGATAGTGTCGTTAAGTACGCGGAATATAAACTAAATATCAGGAAAATCCAAATCTAACACAAAACTTAAACTCCATTGTAAACAACTTCAGGATATACCATCTGACACTGGGGACCATGATGCAATGAATATTCTAGGTGTACTGGTTTTCCTAACATTTCTAGCATTAGCAAAGACAACTATGACACTCTCCTTACCAGAATAAAAAACTGGATATACAAAGATGGAACTCCAACCTTTATGAGCTTTACTCAAAAGGGTGGAGACCATAAAAAATTAAATATACTCCCGAACTTCTACTTTTGTTCCAGGCTTTCGGTGTAAACCAACAAAACGAATTTCTCTGTGGGAGTAACCATTATTTTCCATGTTTAAATGGAAGGGAAAAAACCAGGGAAAGGTTTAAAACATTCAATTATTCAAGACGAGGAAGACGGTATGGCTGTACCAATTTTAAAAGGTTATTTTTTTCTCAGTCAAGTTTAAACATTGATAAACTGTGTAACCAAGACTACCATGTCCAGGTGGAAAACCATCCGAGCTATCACTCATTAACGGACCCCCACAGTTACAGTGGGGAGAAGGACCTGGAAAATTTGGTAAACAAGTTGCAGAATCCTGCACAAGAATTCAATTTAAACCTGGAAAACTCAATTAAAGACCACATATAAATGCATGACAAATGTAGAATAATGTAGGTGGGTTGCCTACCCTGGATTTTAAACCCAATCCAGTTGGACCTTAGATTTAAAGCTGATTAAAAAGGAATACACATTTTATTCCATAATAGACAAGGGACAACTCAAAAAGGTTTTCAAACTTTGAAAAGAGATATTGTGGAAGAAGTGGTCTACAGGTTTTACAACTACGTAATTACTTGAACGAGAGATTAGGAAACAGATACAGTGGGATCCGAAGACCCAATACTGAAAAAGATATTACGTGCTTATACAGAGCGAGTCAAGGTACCATATTAGATTAATAAGGGGTTGGATGAGTTAAAAAAACCTATCCGAGTGGAGAGATAACTGAGGAAGAAAGGTAATCGTTGAGATCCAAAGAGGAATTGTACAGGTTGTTGGTGGTTTCAGTGAAAATTGCACAAGCTTGCATACATGGAGAGAATTTGCATGGAAATGTTTAATCAGATCTTTGTAAACCCTAGAGCGGATAGGCGTCACTGTTGGCGAGGAGGGATTCCACAGGCTGTGAGGATGTAGTGGGGCGGGGATGCAAAGACAGCTGGGTATTATTTTTTGGAATGTTCAGTTATGTGAATTTTCTGGTCAGAGAGATCTACAAAATATTAGAAAGACAGTGTTTCATAGAATAAAGTGATCTATCATAAATCATCCAATGATTTCAGTGAGTGTGGGAGAAACTAACTTTCTCACAGGGCATCTCAACAAATACCTATTTGGTGCTCTGATTTCTGCTGGCAAGAAAACCATCACACGACACTGGCTGCATCCTAACTCCCCCACAATAGAGGAATGGACTGATATTGTTAATGAAATATATTTAATGGAAAATATTACTTTCTCACTTCGCCTACAACTGGATAAATTCACAAAGTCATGGTCAAAATGGGTCTCCTATGTACAAATGTCACAGTCACATCCTAGAAACTAAATCACTTGTCTCTACCCACTTTATTTTCTTTACCGATCTCCCTGTTGGTTTGAAGGATTGCCTGGTCGTATACGTCCTCATACTCACTTATCATAACTCAGACAATATAGATGATTGGTCTCCCTACAAATGAATGCAGCCGTTGTTACAAGCCCATACATCCCGTTTTGATTCACCATTGTTTTCTGTCTGTCTTTAGTTAGTTCTGTTTTTTTCTTATAAATATAAACATATATGCAGGTTTTGTTCTCAGCAATTTTTTTTAACATTACACAATTATAAAACTGTAACAGCTATGTTTTGATGGGCTGATGTTTTCCTCCTTTTTTTTTTTTTATTCTTGACAATAGCTGTGAACCAAGAAATCAATACCAGCTGTGTAATGTATTCTGTGAGGATAACAATAATAAAGAAAATTGAAAAAAATGTAAAATACTTCAGAATTTTACATAATGGCCAAAGTGCAAAACCTCCGATATTTATCAGCACCAGACCGAACTGAACTGAAACGTGGGACGTATGTGGTAAGTAGGCCCTTGTAAATGTCTGTCTGGTTTAAGTAAGCAATCAATGTCTCCCACCCTTACTAGTGATTTGGTAGTATTCCTGTTAAGTTAATAATAACAATCTGAAACGCGCAGGCTAGAGTTGATCGAAAAGTTAGGGATAATACTTGAAACAGCACTGTAGTTGTCTTGATCTCAAAATGAGTGTAATTGAGGGTCGTAAATTAGTTATTTAATAAAAATTGTGTTAAACACGATGCTAACAAACTAACTATTTCTAGGTAAAAACCACCTTGCATGTATTTAGATAGGAGGTTCTGGCGTTTAACATTTTGAACTCATGGTTAGAGGTTGTCATTGCTGCTTTGATGTGAATGTCATTATCATGATCGCTTATTAATTTCATGTCAACACCAGTATCTCCAGTATCTAATGCCAAGTGTCCTCTATATGACACAGACCTCAGACAACCCTACAAAAGACAAATACCTGAAGATATTGTGGAGGAAGAAGCAAAAAATGATGGCTGTGACTCAGAGCTAGAGCGAGTCGTCTACTAACTGGAAGGTTTGTGGTTCGATCCCCGCTCCTCTCGCTGCATGTCAAAGTGTCCTTTAGCGAGACACTGAACCCCACATTACTCCCGATCCTGTGAATCAGTGTGTGAGTGTGTGTGAATGATTAGTTTCTGTTCTGGTGAGCATTTGGCACCTTGCACGGAAGCCACTGCCATCAGTGTATGAATGTGTGTGAATGGGGTGAGTATTGCTGTAGTGTACAGTGTATTGAGTGGTTGAAAGACTAGAAAGGCACTAGATAAGTACAGTCCATTTACCATTTACAAAATAGATCTAAGAGGAAGAAAGGGGTGAACTACACAAAACAAAATTTGGAAAACAGACAGCTGGGAAAAGGGTACAAGGGGAAAAAGAAAGTGGGGAGAACAACAATTGAGGTTACTCGAAGTCCACGCTCCGTAGAAGACAGATGTCATCATGGCTGCAACGAGGGTCAAATCAGAAACATGGCAGGACAGCAATGTGAGAATATTTCTGAAGAGCAAAGGCAAAAGATCTTTACAAATTTCTGCAAAATAACCTAGGAGCAAAGTTTTTGTGACAGGTTGCATGCCCTACAAAACGACAAACAGGTGGTTAATCTCGGAAGAACCAAACATGTAAATTCAGACTGCAAGTTGATAACAAGCAGGTACCAGTATGCCAGACAACCACAAAAAGATTTAATCTGGGATGCATTTTACCTGGTGATACACAAAACTGTTAACTTAAATGTTAGGAATTTGATGTTGGATTTTATGGTAGTCTGTATGTACAAGGTTTAGTGTTTTGGTTCAAATATTGTCCAGAAACCAGTTTCTCAGTGGGCTGACTTCACCCAAACATCATGTGATTATTATGAAGTGTTCATGTCTGCAAAGGGAACACTCGTGGGTACCCAGAGAACCCATTTACATTCACATGGAGATCAGAGGTTAAGGGACCCCTGTGAAAATGGACACGACAGTTTTTGGACGAGTTAAAAAATATTTGTATGCTCTCAACTATAGCATTTATATCGATGTATTCAAAGTTATTGAATAAAATAAAACATTACATGCAACTATTTGTACGTTTTTGCTTATACAGAGTTTATTTACATTATTTAATAACTTTTGAATTCATAGAGGGAGACGGGCTGATTTTGGGCAGGTTGACACCAGCAGTGCCATAGGCTGACAGCACTAGCATGCACGCCACTGTGCTAAAGCTAAAGTAATTGCTTTTCTGCTTTTATATATTAAAAGAAGCCATTATGGCTCATCTAAGAATGGGGATTTCAATTATTTTATACTGCAGTTTCATTCAGTCTGATGGACATTGACATATGATGACCTTTCATTTTACCCAGCAATCTCTTTAGCCAAAGTACTTGAACATGGATTACCACAAAGGTCAAAAGACACACCAATAGTGTGTGTTTGACATGTAGTGCCTCTGTATAATGGCATTTCTTAAGGGAGACACTACAGGTGAATAAGTACCATTTTAACTAATAGATATCACCATGAAACTGCCCAGTCGATTACTTAATTTAATTCAGTTCAGTTTTATTTGCATAGTGCCAGATCCTAACAGATGTATATGCTAACTGCACTAGCTGCTGCCACTAGCAAGTTAGTGGCCCTATTAGCTGTCTGTACCCGGACTGGGGCATAAAACGGAAAAGAGTTTTGTAGCGA